CCCCCCCCCCCCACCTTACTGCCTCTTCTCTGTTATTGGATCGCAAGCTATTAGATGTGAAACAAGATATCCTCTCCCATCCTTTGGAACTGTCAAAATGAAGACAGCTAGTTACTGGATGTGGAGTGTCTCTGATAGATACTCCGCTGTGATTGATTGCAGTTGTTTATGTTTGACCCGTCAGTTCAATCCCCGGATTCTATAAGAACAGATTTGGTTTGATATCCTCTGGCCACTGTGACAGTTTGTTCGCTCCCCAATCTCACCATCATTTCATTTCTCCTCACAGATGCCTTCAACATCATGTCACTGGACAGCGTCAACAATTATTACCGGTCAGTATGAGAAGCCAGTAACACAGTAAAAGCCTGATGTACATCCAGCTGAGATGTTCGAGCTCCCTCCTGCATGTCTTTTAAAGTAGCGAGCTGATTGTGAAGCCAGACTTCAATGGCTGTGAAACAGGAGTAGTTGCATTAGCGACAGTATTCCTGAGGCCCGAAATAGAAGCAGAATCTACATAAACAAACGGACTGTCATCGTCTTTTGACACGAATTATGTTTTATGTGCCACGGCTGCTTCTGTTAATGCTGATTGATCTTTTAACTCCCTAATACTCTTAATGTTGTTGTCATCCTCCGTGAGACAAAGTCTGTCTCCTACGCAAGCGTAATTTATTTATTTAAAATGCATTAAATTATCTCGGGCCTGTGCTCGTGTTCAGAGCTGCTGGCTCCATCCCAGTCTGAAGCACAGTATATTGTTGCTCACGTTGGCTTTTCTCAATTTTCTCTAGGAAATACTCGGCTAATCAGAAAGTCGGCTCGTTCCACTACGTTCACAAAACTCCCTTTGGCAACTACTCCTTTGTCTGCGCGGATGCCACTCTGACTCCAGGACCCAAGAGACCATACAATTTCTTTGGTATTCTCAACCAGGTACATCTGTCTAACAACTTCTCTTCATTTGTGATGAAAAATCTTGAATTTATTAAACATAAGGAGATTTGTTCTGCACAAAAATGTTATGGGATCCTTCCTGACCCGTGCAGCATCCTTCCACTGAGTTTCATGATGTTCTGTCGTAGTAGTTTTTGTGTAATCCTGCTAACTATCAAAACACTGATGAAAACATCACCTCCTTGGCGGAGCTAAACATGTATTCATTGTCTTTAAAGGAAATGTAAGGATGCACACGCAGTAGAAACTGAATGTCATAGAAACAAATTTAAACATGTGGCTCTTTTGTCAATGAATGACAGACTCAGATGGACCTGCTGGACACGTTCAGAGTTGAGAGTTTGGAAAGCAACCAGTCGATCTGGTTTGGCCACTACACCACTTCCACTGTCGTCTCTCCGTCTCCAGGAGTGCGGGACATAATGAGGTATGAAAATCCCGGATGTTAAACCAGTTATTAGCAAATGGGTGGGAGAAATATTTAAAGCTAATCTTTCATCCCTGAATCCTAGAACTAGATTATGAATTAAACATTTAAGCAGTCATTGACATATTATAATTATCATTTTATAACTTTTATACTTTAACTTCTTGTGTTTTAAGATCTGCAGTTGCATATCTCTGTGGCCATCTGCACACGCTGGGCGGCCTGATGCCTGTGCTCCACAGCCGACACCCTCAAGGCACCCTGGAGCTGGAGCTGGGCGACTGGATGGACAACCGCAGGTATGCAATGTGACATGGTCACAAAATATTCATAACTGTGTGTTTATTACCTCTCTTCCTCCGCTTCTCAGTGAATTCCTCTCCTCCCGTCTGTCTCCAGGTACAGGGTTATGGCTTTTGACCATGACCTGCTGAGTTTCTCTGACCTGAAGTTTGAGCAGTGGCCTGCGGTGCTCATCACCAACCCCAAGGACGCTCAGTACCTTCATCCAGGAGTGGAGCCGCTGGGTCGGATACGGAGATCGACACACATCAGGTGCCTGTTGACTGTTGTTGGAACCAGAAAACCTTTCACTGGCACTGGATCTAGGAAACAAAGCATCTGTAAACATCGTGTCAATTTCTGGGGAATTCGTGCTCCGATCTGTATATTACAGATTAAATATCTGTAATATCTTTTATTATGATGCAAAAAGTCCAAATTAAAGACGATCGTTGTGGAACCTTGGAATTTCACCACAATAGTTGTTCCACTGTGAATCGAGTGAGCGCTGTGAAACTGCCTCAGGCTGTTTTATAAAATATTAAATTTCTTTGATTTCCACAGGATCTTGGCCTTCTCTGAGGCTTCAATCACAGCGGTGCATGTGAGCGTAGATGGGGAACCTCTGGGGAAAAGCCACTCTGCTGGAGGACCTCTGTATGTTCTCCTGTGGGATCCATCTCTCTACCTCACTGGACTGCACACAATCAGAGTCAAAGTGGAGGTCAGCACAGCGTTCACTTATCTTCTGCTTCAAGTCACAAGAGTTGGGAGATATTTAATTGGTCTTAATTAACTTTGGAAAGTTTTGTTTGCCTAAGTTAAATTATGATTAATAAGTGAACTGCTTTGAAACCCTTCTCAGTATCAATACCTTCTGCAGATTTGAATGTCCTCTGACCTGAATTAACAGTTTTTTCTTTTCTCATCATTTTGCGTGTGTGTGCCGTGAGCCAGGACTCGGCAGGCCGGTCGACAGAGCGGGAGCAGCACTTCACTCTGGAGGAAGACCTGACTCCCAGCTTTGGTTTTGTGCAGTCCTTCATCCTCCTCACAGACCACTACATCCTGGCCCGCGTGGCCTTCATATTCATGACGGTGCTGAATGTCGGTGTGCTGCTGGCCTTTAGGTTCCTGAGCGTTCCTTCTGGCAGAGGTAATATTAAATAAATACATCATCATGATGTCATTGGTATTGTAGGTGTTATTCTGGGTTTACGTCAGTAAGAGTCATTCTTCTACACTGTGTGAAAATCGTACATATTAGTTTTTTCTTCATCCTCTTCAGGTTTGACGTCTCAAGTGTGTATGTCGCTGCGTCTGGTCAGTAAAATGGACTCTTTCTACTACTCTCTGCTGCTGTTCAACCTGTGGACAGCCTTAGGTGGGTCTACTGCTTTTCTTTTAAGTCAGGTTGAACATGCCTCTGCTTCTTACATGATGTTGCATCTAAAATCCAAACAATATCTGTGAATTACTGTGAATGACATAAATATGTAAAAATAACAAATCTATGTAAAACTAATATCTGGTTGGCTCTACAGGATTTTCATTAAAGTCCTGTGTTTGTTCTTGTATCCACAACTCAATCTGATCTGTGCTGTTTCCGTCTATGTTCACAGGTCCGTGGTTCGTAGGAGAATTGATAGACGGCCATATTGGCGCCTGCTTCGTCTTTGGGGTTTTCATCGATGGACACTTCCTGGAGGGCAGTCTCTCTTACGTTGTTGGAGTGGTTCAAGTGAGAAAATTAATGTTTAAACCATCTACCTCACTGCTGAATTAGCTTTAATAATAAATTCTCTCCAGAAAAAAATCTCTGGTGAGAATATGTTGCTTTTCTTAATCTTATCCGATAGTAAACTGTCTTTGGGTTTTAAATAGGACATTTTATTAAATATTATAAAACAAAATGCAGAATATAATCAGCAGATGATTTGTGCATGACAAATTTTAGATGCTGCCCTAACTTGCTCTACGTCCACAGATGTCGATCGGTGTAAATATATTTAACGCAGCCCACGTAACCTCAACTTCACCATTTTTATTTCCTAAATTCTGCAGAGACCTTTACATCGACATTTAAAACGTTCTGTTTTGTTTTGGCAGATTATCATATTAATCTTAATTTGGCCTAATAATTTCCACTGAATCTACAAATGCTGTTTTACTTTCTGCCATTTTTTCAGTGCTTCATCTCTTAATTTTACAGACTGAAAACTGCACTAATCACATTTAACTGAACTAATTTCCAGCTGCTGTTCTTCAACATGCCCCTCACCTCTTACCTCTGCTGGAGCCTCCACCACCGTTGCCGCGGCAACACCTTCCGATCTCACTTCCTGCGGCCGGGCTGCCGCTGGCGGAGTCTGGCGGTCCACCTCTTCATGCTGCTGCTGCTCACCTGGCAGGCCCACTCCTGCTACTTTCTCCTGGAGACCTACGGCTCCATGGCCTTTTTCTTGTCTCCTGTCCGCACGTGGGCGTTCGGGCTCAGTCTGCTATTGGTGTACCGCGCCTGGACAAGCCCCGCCCCTTTCACTCGTGACAATAGCAAGAGCGTCTCTCCCTCTTGACAGTAATTGCACTGTACCACCACCACCACGATATCCATTGAGCCTGACTCACAGATATATTTTGCAGTCTCTATCCACCCTGAAAGCCTCAATTTTCCCCACACGACAGCCTCTTCCTCTCTCCCTCTCTCTCGCATCACTTCATCCCTCACTACCCTGTTTCTAGATAGTATTTACTTGATATGCATGTAATCGTAAAGCACCGGTGAGCACATTTCTGGCCATATTCATAGCAATGTGTACAGTGTTAAAAAACAGAAACACCTTGGATACATTAAGAATTAAATAACCTGTTTGAGGACTATTTCGATGAATGTTGCAGTTGATGGTTAAAGCTGACTCATTTACTTGAGATTTAGCACTTTTTGGAAGTGTTGCCTTGGCTGAATGCCACTTCACCACTGCCAAAGGATGAATAAGAAAGATTTCACCTTTTATTCTCCCCCCCAAAGCCGCTTTCATTCGCTAATGAAGGCTGTATGTGCCAAACCAATCCCTGTGTTTACCTCCCGACAAACTAAACATGTGGATGATAAAAGGTGTATGCCTCATTTTATATACTGTAAGCTTTCCCTAACGTCCCATGGGCTGATGGAAAGCGATAGTTACTTCGGTGGAAATGACGTACTGTAGATAATGCAACCTAGACGATCAGATTTTCAAGTTTATTCTACATTTAATAACAGGAAATCAAAGGAAGGAAATTATAAATGAGTTGAGTACTGTTGCTGATCTGTGTTCAAGACGTTGTATGATTTAAAGTGTTTTTAAACTTATATGAATTCCACTGCACACAACTGCCAATGTAAAACTTCGTAATATTCGCATTGGAATATTCATATCCAACACTTCAATGCCACTTTTCACCACGACACAGACGCCGGCCTGACTCTTCATGCTCCTTCAAACGTGACTACAGAAAGCAGCTGTTTGTTTCTCAGGAATGTGAGCACTTGAACAATAGGCTGGCCCCAGTAGTATTTCAGGACAATGTTTTTATACTCCATAGTAGCTCAGTGAACTTTAAAATTATATTGAAAAAAAAATCCAGATGTGTGGTGGCTAAAAAAAAATCTATTCATTCTGATTGTAATGTGTGATTTCTTTATTTTATTTTCTCTCTCATGTTATAAAACTGCACTGCAAATGGGCACGTTTTGTTCAGAATGTTAATCCCTTTTTGTGAAGGAGCGAGAGCATAAACTGAGTTTCTAGCCCGTAGTGGCAGGTGCCTGGATTCCACAAGAACAAACGGATCTGAAAAATGTACAGAAATAGGGTGGATACGTTATTTATTGAGTCCTTTCATAAAAGCAATGTTACAGCAGCGTGAGGTACTCGCATATTTTCCAAACTATACCCAGTGTTGGTACAGAGGTGTTCCTCAGTGCTGTTATAAGACATCCGCTTTAATATTAAAACACCTGCCAGGCACTGAGAAAATTGATTTATGTGCAATCGTGCTGGCAGTGGTTTAATAACTTCTTTTCCTCTCTGCATAGACAGGTCTTACACGTTTGTACAGGAGCACCACTAAGTGTTTAATTCCAGGATAAAGACTGATATTTTAAATGTATTGAGTTTTGTCATTGGAGATGTTTGTTTCTAACAACGCTCAGTATCTCTCACAAGCTCTGTGGCCTGTCCACAAGGAGGCAGTGTTGATTGGATACAGAGTGTAATGATTTATCACTGGGCTGCAATTCACTTCCATCCCCAGATTCTGCACGATTAGTTTTTCTTTTTGCAGAAAGTCACTCACAGATGATACGTTTTCTATAAATCTGGTGGTGATTGTCTTGTACTGTGCATCGAATGAACAAAGAACAGACATCAGCCCGAGCATGGATACATCTCTACGAAGGAATACACAGAAAAACAATGTACTGGTGTTCACTGTTCATAAGCCTTCATAAGTTCATGTTCAACTAATGAAGCATACCAATGAAGATGATGATCCCTCCCCGCCACATTTTTTTTTTCTCGTGACAACTGAACTTAGAGCCAGCCACAACTTTTATTTTGTTAATGGTTTATAGTGCTGTGGAATAAAAATGTTCATTACAGTAAATCATGTACTTTGTGTACTTTTACACAGAACCCCCCACACTGAGAAAATGCAATTTAAAGGAATTTCTGAATCATAAAATTTGTAATATATTATTTAAAATAAAGTGTGAAAAGAAGCTAAAGAAATAAAACATAATATTATTGCTGCATCACTGTATAAACACACACACTAGCTTAAGTGCTTTAGCTGGCAAGCTAATGCAAACAAAATTAGCTAACACATTGTCAAAGATAACAAAATAAAGTCCAAAGGTCTAATTAAAATAAATGTCATGTACGTTAACTAAAAACACTTTTTTAGTTAGCTATTAAACTGCAGCTAACTTTTTCATACAAATAAAGCTACTACAACAATGTTAATCATTGAATCTAAATGGGAGCTAACTGCTGTAGCATCACAGTGTAAACTCCTGTTTGTAGCGGAAGCGATTCAGCCGGTAAGCTAACGTATAAAATATTAGATTAAAATTAATTCTACTCAAAAATCTTTAGTTTAACTCCATGAGTAGTAAAACACAAATTAAATCACAATCAAGGATGAAACAATGGCAATGCTGGGTGTTTATAATATAGATATTATAAGCAAATATCTATTTAATCTATGTTTATTTTTTACTGCAGCATGGATTTATATAAATCTATATTAAAAAGTATTAATATTCAAAACTTATCAGACTCTCAAACACTCCTTACTTTTCTATTTTACTTTTCTCAGGATCATAAAGAGAGAATATGATGTGATTTTTGATTTCTGGTTCATAATTGTAATCAACTGGCACCAAAGCGATGCAGTGTCTTACTCTTGTTCATTACCTTACTGGCAGTGAGTGATGAATAGGCAGCTGTGGGTTCATTTCTCGAGGTGTCTGGTGAGAGTAGTAGTTGCTGGGAACTGTGGTGATTATCCTCACTCCGATATCTTTATAATTTGTTTGCCAATGTTTCCCCCTTTCATCATAGAGCAAAATGCATCTGCAAGAAAATGGGAAAAAAAAAATCAACTCTGTAAATGTAAAGTCAAGAATCATAAAATAGTGGAAAAATGGCAGAGTGAAACGTCACATACCTCCCATGTTCTCAATGCCATTCACCACAGTTTCTAGCACCTGCAGAATGAAAGAACAATATGATGCAACAATGAGGACAACCAAACAGTCAACATACATTAACACCATTTCCCCCTCACCTTGATTTGACCTGATTTAACACACTGGCTGAGCTCACAGAGGGCAGCGTCTGCTTTGCTCATGTAGTTGAGCACCATGAATCTCTCTCTGGTGATGCTCTTGCTTTGCAGAGTTTCCTGTGTCTCCTCGCTCAAAGGTGGAGGATATGGCACATCCTTGTTGTACTGAGAGATCTGCCCACACAGGATCACATGGCTGCCGCTGTTCATCTGAGAAAGAGAGAGGCGGAGGTCAACATGTCGGATTCACTGGAGCAGGAAACACTCACTGTTGAAGATAAGGAAAAAGTGCTGCAGAAACCACAAGCCACCAAATTTTATGTTTGCAAATGTTGGAAACACCACCGCAGAATAAAGAGTGCGACAAAAACATCATTGACAGTACCTGTGCTATGACAGTATCACTGATGGGACCTCCCACATTGTCAAAGTAAACATCCACACCATCAGGGCAGCACTCCTTCAGTCTTGCCGGTACATCCTCCTGTCGATAGTTGATGGCAGCAGAGAAGCCCAGATCATCCACTAAAGCTCTGCACTTCTCAACAGATCCACAGATCCCAACAACCCTCACACAGCCGTCCAGCCTGCCAATCTGGGGGGGGGGGAATCAGGAAGCAATGACAAAATCAGCCTCATTTGGTTTTTGTCTCTGCAATCTAAGCTGTGTTTGTGTTATGAAATGATACCAAAATCACAGGTTTGCTGTATTTACCTGTCCAGCTATGGAGCCACAGGCCCCAGCAGCCCCACTGACCACCATGGTCTGATTGGCCCCTTTGGTGATGTGACCCTTCTCCCTCACTCCCAGCAGGGCAGAGAGGCCTGTTAGGCCAACTGCACCCAACAAGTAGGATAAGTGCCCACAAGCCAACTGGGGATCAACCTGCAATAGAGAGAAGTTTTTATTGACTAATAAAACACAGCGTCCTTGTCACATGGTGCTTTAAAGGTTCAGTGTGTAAGATTTAGGTGAAAGGGATCTCTTGGAAGAAATAATCCTAGTGATGTTTTCACTTATCATCTGAACTGAACAAATTGTTGTTTTCGTACGTGCCGCACCTTCTGTAAGACGCTTCCTTTCATAACAACATGGGTCTGCCACGGCCAGTTGAGCGAAGTGACCACATCTCCCACAGAGAAAGAGCTGCAGCGGCTGGACTCGACCACACCGATGCCGGCACCATCCACACACTCAGACAGCTGCCATGGAGTCAGGTACCCAGTACCGGTGTCCTCGTTCATCCTGCAGCGCTGTGAAGGCAAAGACACAAAGACAGGAGTCATGGGACAATGGATGCCTATCAACTAACTTTAACCTTGCTATAACTCAGGTGGGTTAGTTACAACTGCATGATGTAAGTGGACTCATCTTAATGCAGATGCCTTGATAGTTTAGACTTAAAAAGCACTGAAATGACCTGACACCATCCTGACTGTATGTTTACCATGTAAGGGTCGACTGAAAGGTAAAGCGTCCGAACAAGGGCCTCCTCCTCCGTCAGGTCAGGCGCCAAAGTGGACTCCTCCAGGCGGAAATTTGCAGGAACTGGCACCCCATCTTTACCTTCACGTAAAACAAGAAGCAATCACACAGACGCAAACAATGAAACTCTCAAAACTCTCTGAGAAAATGAAAACTTAACAAAGCTTCCAACCTGGACGTGAGTTGAGAACGACTCTCTGCACATGCATCCTCGGAAAAAAGTCGCATTTAATTCAAAGCAACACAGAAAAAGTGCGGGTGTTTACGTGCAAAGTGTCAAAAGCTGCAGCACGAGTGTCACCGTGTGGTTGGCAACAGGCTAAGCTAGCTAACCACCGAACCAGCTGTAGCTCAGGAGTGTGTTGACATCAGCTAACCGGAGTGTTCTTCCTGTTCCTGCAAGATGCTTCCCTGTTAGCCACTTCCGCCCGCGCTTAAATCCCGGTAGGCAGTGGGCGGGGGGGGGGCGACATTTTAATTAATTTATTTATTTTAGGCTAAGATCCAATTAGCATGTCACATCTGATTCCGAGTTCATCTGTTCATCGTTAAAACACAGGTAACGAAACGTCAATCGCGTGACATGCTCAGGCAGTGTGACGAAAGTGCGACATCGTGTCCCCCAGAGTTCCGGTGCAGCGGGGGTTCACCATCTTGCCGCTCGCTCGCCCTCTCCTCCCGCATCTAGGTGTCATGGAGCCGTTAAGGCAGCTCCGGTGAATCAGAAACGGAACGCGCCCTCCAGCAGCCGATTTTTTTTATTATTCTTTTCTTTATTCGTGTTCATCCACCTCGTCAACACGACTCACACTTCAGCGGTGAGTTGTTGTTGGTGGGTTTTTTTTTTATACCGCATTTTGCTGTGGATAGTCGCGCCGTGCAGTCGCTACCAAAGATGATGAACGCGGGCTGCAGCGCCGGTTGTTGCTAGCAAAGAGTGTGTCAGAGAAAGTTACGCCTTGTGGAGGAATCTGGAAAATCAAAGGAAAGTTTCTGAGGTTTCTCTGGTGAAGTGAAGCTGGTCGTGACGTCCACACAGGAGGAGATGAAGGCCCGTGTGTGTCATGGAGGAGCAGAGTTTACTGTAAGTACTGCGATGCTGTTTCTGATGCTTTACTGCACAATGATCAGCTGTGTGTGTGTGTGTTGTAATAAGACTGAGGCTTCACCTCCTCCTCCTCCTCCTCCTCCTGCTCTGTGACTCTGACACTTCGGTGAAGTCAAATATATCTCCACCTGCTCTTCTCTGGAGTTTGTGGGAGGATGTGTAAACATTAAGTTCACTGTGAGTGGGTGATAGATTGTAATCACTATAAAATAATCTCTATAAATTATGATTAAGTTGTCCGGAAGTTTGTTTTCACATTGCTCATGTCTCACAAGCTCAAAGCTCCCCACAATATTCAATACTGAAAGATTTAATCAGTAAAGCAGCAAATCACATGTTGGAAACTGACTCCATTCAATCTGTGGCACTTTTTGTGTGCATGAATTCTGAATTTATTGTCTAATAGTTGGCAATGTATTATCTTTCAACTGATAAACTATACTCAACTAATCGATAAAGGTATCTGTCGAAAACACTGTTTTATACACACACACACACAGAGAGAGAGAGAGAGCCGTGTGTGTATGACTTCAGAGTACATTGTATTGATTTACTGTAACCTATAACATAGTTACTACTCACTTACTACTATTACTACTTAACTCTAACCTTAACCAGGACCTCAGAAATGGTATACCTCATTAGGACCTGGCTCTGGTCCCCATGAGGTGTATTGGTCCTGACAATGTAAGGTCAGTGTTTATGCTGGCAAAGGTCCCAAAGAGGTAACAAAAATGACTACACACACACACACACTCCAACCGTGATTCCCAGCACAGTGACAGTGTCATCAGAGGCAGCCATGTCAGCCTGACTCGACTTCTTGTCAACTGCATCTGTGAATGTTTTGGGGCTTTGCACGTTATTTTAAGGGCCAGAGAGGAGAGCGAGCCCAGCAGAGAGACTACAGCTGTGCACAGTCTGACTGGCACATGCTTGGTCATGTCCAGTGACATATGATATTCACTACTTTTCTTAACGTGTTGGTCTTATTTGACTGGTAACAGTCGGAAAAGCTTACGTGTTTTAACACAGACTTAATGGACGGTGTGTTTCAGCTTCCGCCCACTGTAAAAAAAAAACGAAGCCAAAGTATCCCAGATTGACCGAGTCACTCTCAGCTGTCAATAAATAACACACTCTGTTGTGTTTGTGTGGCCGCTACGTTACAAGTGAACATGGTATGTGTCAAATGGATTTAAAGGAGACTAGAAAGTATATAATAAGAACAAGTACGTGTCCATGGTGCCTGTGTGCACATCCCCAAGGGAGTATAATTGAGGCCTAGCATTAGCCTGAGTCAGCATGCGCAGTACAGCTAAAAGGAATGCAGCCATCATTGATTTCAGTATTTACACCTTTTGTGACATGTCCACCTCTGCCTCTGCAGTCTAGTGATGAACATTTATATGTGCAGACACTGCTGAATATATTTGAATGAAATTAACTCATTGTTTCAGCTTTTAATTAACTAACTAATCCTGTAATTGTGTCAGAGCTGCTTTAAACAGATTGTTTGCCTCACCAAGGCCTTTTTAAAAAAAATGCATGTTAGTGTTTCATTTGTTTGACGTTACCACATTGAGCCGACCACAGTTCACCTTGCAATATCTGGGCTGCGTTCACACGCTTTCATTTCGTCCTGAGTGAAACGCATGTGAACACACGGTACAAACCAAAACTCACACTGATTATAACAGTATCCCACGTGACTGTCTTCAACAACAAAAGCTCTGAACCTTTTTATAGTGGCCCTTGAGAGCTCAATGCACTGCAGTTTAAGGAAACACATGCAAATAGTCTTAAAAAGGAAATAAAGAGAAAGCACACTCATCACAAGAAACTTCTGGTTGGGTTACTCCTCTCACAATCAACTGCTGAGACTCTGTCCTTCTAACTGTGATTCAACAATGCACTATTGTTTTATTGAAATCATTTTTAAGCGATAATGATAATCTGTTAAGTTAAGTATCGTTAAAATTCAAGAATATGACTTGGGTAAACGGAGATGATTGGAGATGGCACCAAGGGTCCTCCCTTTCTCCGTTGTGTACAGTAGTTTTATTCCATTCATATTTTTCTATATCTCCTATATCCCTTACACTGAAGTATTGCATGTTACTTATTATCACTTACTAATGTCTATTTTTGACTCTTGCTGCTGTAATATTGGAGATCCCCCCATTGTTAAATAAAATAAAGGATCTTATCTTAAATCAGGGTCTGTCGGTGTGTAATGAACTTGTATTTTACAGTTATAGACAGTTAACAATCAGTTCATAAGATAAGTTAAGAAAAGATAAACCTTTAGCTCCCACGATGGGGAAACATACTGTTACACTAGTACAGGGGACTGCAAAACAGAGATTAAAATAACAATTAAAATGCAGTTTAAACATGAGGAAATATAAACA